GAACTGACATCTGCTGCCACTCCTCCTCTTTTTTTTTTTTTTTTTTTTTTTTTTTTGCTGAGGAAGACTGGCCCTGAGCTAACATCCATGCCCATCTTCCTCTATTTTATGTGGGACACCTGCCACAGCATGGCCTGATGTGTGGTGTGTAGCTCTGTGCCCTGGATCCAAACTGGCGAACCCCGGGCTGCTGAAGTGGAACATGTGAACTTAACCCATATGCCACCTGGGCTGGCCTCTGCAACAAAGCATTTTTGAATCAAAAAGATCTCTTGGACTTGGATATACATTTGCCCTTGATGAAACAACGCCAGGTCAACATTATTATTATTATAAATTCTATATAGTCATCTCGGCTATCATCTGTTGAGAGCCTGCTGTAAGCGCTGTAGTGGATCGGAAGATGTTACTCCCCAAAAGACAGGCCCACGTCCTAACCCCTAGTACCAGTGAATGTGACCTTATTTGGAAAAAGGGTCCTTGCAGACGTGGTTAAGTAAAGATCTTGAGACGAGATTATCTTGGATGAACCAGGTGGGCCCTAAATCCTCTGACAAGTGTCCTTATAAGAAAAATAGAATCTCAGGGGAGTGAAAAGAAGGCCCTGGGAAGATGGAGGCAGAGATTGGAGCGATGCTGTCACAAGCCGAGGAATGTCAAGGATTGCCGGGAACCGCCAGAAGCTGGAAGAGGCAGGAAGCTTTCTCCCCTGGAGCCTCTGGAGGGAGTGCGGTCCTGCCGACACCTTGATGTTGGACTTTTGGGCTCCAGGACTGTGGGAGCATAAATTCCTGCTGCTTCGATGCCATTTAGTTTGCTGTAACTTGTTACAGCAGCCGGGGGAAACCGATGCAACCACCTTTTCTGGAAAAGCACCCCCTACGCACTGCTCACCCCGTTCTTCCGCCTCCTCATCATTATTTCCTTTGTGACGCATCGCGGTCTATAACGACCTCCTTTGTTTCCTTGCTAGTCCATCTCTTGCCCTGGACTGCGATCCCGTCAGAGCAGGGACCTTGTCCACTGTCGTGTCCCCGGGCTCCGTGTTGGAGCTCGGCCCTCATTGGGGGCCCACAGATACTTGCTTCTGAATGAGATGTCATTGGAGATGGGTACATTTCCAAGGAGAACAGAACTCAGAATCAATATTCGTGTCCCAAGGCTGCAGTCCTGAAAAATCAAAAAATAACAAAGACTAAGGCACACGCACACGAAAGAAGCGAAAGCAAATTTCAGCAGCAGATTTACAACTCTCCCAAGGGGAGCCTGTTCTTGCCCAGACATTTAATTGAACGTGTAGTCAAGTCAGCTCACAGTGTGTCTGGGGAACTCACAGGCCGGGCCACCAAGGCTGAACCAACTCCAGGAAACCTCATTAATTTCTAAATGAGAAATGATTTCATTTCTCAGCGTAGTCTGGAGGCGATGCTATGCAGGGAACAGGTTTTCCAGGACCAGGTCCTCACACCACCTGCCGTGCTTTCTTGACCAAGAGTCTTCCTTAATAAAGAAAGGAGGGCAGGCGGGAAGGGAGGAAGGAACGAAGACCACGAGTGTTGTCCCCTGTAACCGCATTTTCTCCTGTGACCGTCCTGGGAGGGAGATCCGTCTTGTTTCCCTGACTCTCCAAGGCTGGTGGCATTTAGCGGGTCGAAGACAAAGTGATTAGGTCGCAATGAAAGTCAGACTGAATGATTGTCGTCTCCATCTTTATTATTGGCAGAGCTGTGATTTATTTAGTGCTTACCCTATAGGACACGACACTGAACGCCTTACCCTGCCCCCTGTTGCCCTGTTGTTTTTACGCATATTGTTCTTATAATTCGGGGAGCCACGTATCACGACCTCCACCCCATAGATGGGGAAATGGCGGTTCTGCTGGATGAAGCGATGCCCAACGTCCTACAGTCAGAGCCTCAATCCAAACACAGAGCATCTGGTTCTGAAGCTCATATTTTTAACCACCATGAGGTCATCTCTTAAGCTTCCGTTGTTTCTTGGTTATTTCTTAGGAACTGCCATATTTTTTTTGCCTTGGAGTCACGCTGTCTAATTAGTTCTTAATTAGTTAATTAGGTCAACAGATGCCCGTTGAACACTCGCATATCCTCAGAGCTCTACTAGAAACTCAGGGATGCGGTTGTACAAGAGGGGACAAGATGTCCCTCGTCAAGGCTCACGGTTTCACAATGAGACAGAAGAGTGACCAAGAGGCACCAACGCCAGGGAGAAAATGCCAGGATGGGCTGACCCTGGGGAGCTGAGGGGGCACAGAGCTGGAGCACCTGACTGTGCGGATGGTGGTGGACATGGCCGTAAGAAAAGACTTCACAGAAGAAATGATGCTTAGCTTGCTCTGAAGGATGAGGAAAGTATTTGTTTTCATGCCTCTGTTGTTGCCAAAAGGATTTAAAGAGGCTCCGTGCCCAGCTCGTGGTAAATGACCAGTAAATATTTGGTAAATGAATGACTGGTGAAAAAGAACTTTGTAATTGTTTCCCTTTCTGCTTTGGCTGCCAGGAAGCTCAGAGCCAAAGTGGTGGCAAATGTTGAGACCTTGAGACCCCCAGACTTCCTCCATTCCTCTCCCCTCCCCCTGCCACTATTGGTCTTGACTTTCTGGTAATTCATCCTTTTCTACGTCCTGATTTTGTAATGTAAGTTCTAATCACGCCTTGTACTGTAATGTACTTCTGACTCAGAAGACATCTGTGGTCTGGGGACAGGGGAGAGGGGTAGGGGACCGAATGCCAGTTGCAGACTTTTATGAGATGATCTTTCTCTGGCCTTCCTCTCCCCTCACCTGCTCATCTCTCGCCTATCAGTGTTCTCAGCTCACCCAGGGGAATTGAATTTCAGATATCCTTGGAGCAAATATTCCACACCTGAGGGGTGGGTTGCCGTGGAGAGTGATGGGCAGAGGCTGGAGCAGCAGCCTGTGGGGGACGAAGAGACTCAGCCTGGCCCTGCCTGGGATGGGGAGCCCTGTGGAGCTTGGGGCAGGCAGGGGGCGGACCAGGGAGAGATCTGCATGTGGAGGAGGAAAGGCAAGTTGGGTCTTTAGAAAATACCGTCTCTGAAGCAGAGGATGCTTTTAGGAGCGGGGAAGAGAGGGGCTGGGCGTGCTTGGGGCAGCCCCTGATTTTTCTTTGCAGGATATGACCTCCCTGCATCCTTGCTGGCTTTGCTCCCTGCCCAGTCTCTGGAACTGAGAGGTGCTGGATAAACACTTGTTGACTGACTCTCGCCTCTGTCCTCTGTGGAAGCCACACCTTTCTTCCTGTCTTGGCTATGGCTCCGCCCCCTCTGAGGGGACTTTCTCGAACACCTGGCTGGGCTAGGGCCAGGCTCTGAGCTCAGTCTCCGCTCCGACCTCTGTAACAATGGTATCATACCGACACCCCCAGGGCAGACCTCCTGCCGAGCTCGGGTCTCCCGTGAACCACTGTCTCTGGTGTCTCTGCCTGGAGTGTAACCGGAATCTCACACTGAACGAGTCCTGACGTCCCCGCCCTCCGCACCCCTCCTTCCCTCATCTTCCCCATCTCGGCAGAGGGCCCCTCATCCGTCCAGGGGCTCAGGCGCTGCATCTCCAGATCTCGCAGCCTCGTCAAAGCTGTTGCTTGTTTCATCTTTAACATATGCCTGGCGTTTGCCCACTTCTCCCCACCCCACGGCTGCCGTCCCCGTCCAGGAGGCGGCCCTCGTCCCTTCCTAGGATTAAGGCAATAATCCCCCAGCGGTCTTCACGCTTCCAGCCTGCTCCCTTGGATTTGTTTCCTCGGGCTGGTGAGAAATTACCGCAGGCTTGGTGGTTTAAGACGGCAGAGATTTGTCCTCTCACGGTTCTGCAGGTCCGAAGAAATCGAGGGGTCGGCAGGGTTGGTCCTTCTGGGGGTTCTGAGGGAGAACCCATTCCGTGCCCCTCTGCTGGCTTCCGGCGGCCGCCGTCCACCCTGGGCGTTCCTTGGCTTGTGGACGCATCCCTCCTTTCTGCCTCCATCTTCACCTCGCTCCTCCTCGGTCTCCTCGTTCTCTTCCAAGGACATCAGTCACTCGATGTAGGGCCCACTCCAGTCCAGGGTGATCTCATCTGGACCCCCTTAACCTAATTACATCTGCAAAGAATCTTGTCCCAAGCAAGGTCACGTTCTCAGGTTCCCGCTGGACGTGAATCTTTGAGCCACCATTCCATCTGCTACACCCTCTGCTTGTCGCCTCTCAATACAGCAACCAGCGCGACCTTCACAAACTGAACCTAAACCTGTCATTCTTCGGCCCCTAACTATCCGGTGGCCCCTCTCATTCCGAGAGCAGGTGAGACTCTTCCTGATGGCTCGTGAGCCCCACGCGGTCTGCCATCAACTCTCTGTCTTCACGTCCTGCATCCTTCCTCTCGCTCACTCCACGCCACCCTCACCCACCTGCCCAGGTGCCTCCATCTCACCAGGCACAGAATGTTCCTGCTCCTCCCTCGGCCTGTGACCTCTCCCTTCTTGCCGCCTCTCTCGCCTCCTTCGGGTCTTCACCGGAACATCCTCAGCGGAGCTCTGGCCTTAGGCCCCCTCTTGGCTTGATTCACTGCCCCATGCGTTTCTCACCATCTCTCAACTTTGTCACTTATTTACTTGTCCACTGCCTGACTCCTCTCACTAGAACATCAACCCCACGAGGGCGGGATTCTGACGTATTTGCCCCTGAGTCCGCCGTGCCGAGAATGCAATAAACATATGCTGAGTCGGTAAGTGAATGAACCGTGATACCCACCTCACAGGGTGCATGAGAATTAAGCAACATGATGCTCAGACAGCCTGACAGAGATGAGCCTCCATACTGTTGTTATTAATATTGTTATTATCATTAGAAGTAGTAGCAGTAACAGTAGCATTGATGTTTTCCCCTGGCGTTTGCGTGCTGCCCCCATCGGAGGCGCTCAGGAAATGTTTGTTGATTGACTGAGGAGTGTTAATAACCCTTCTCTGCCTCATGTCTCTTCGAAGCCATGCACGGGACGTTCGTGATTCTGCTGCCGCTCAGCCTGATCCTGATGGTCTTTGCGGGGATGACGGGCTTCCTGAGCTTCCTCCTCCGAGCCTCCATCCCCCTCCTGCTCACGGGAACCCTCTTCCTCTTCGGAGGTGGGTGCCCACCCTGCGCACGCACCCTCAGCAAGGGAGGGGGCGGGGGGCCTGTCGCCTCTCGGGGGCTCAGTTTCCCCATCTGTGTTGTCACAGCTGGAAGGGCTGAGCGGTTTCCAGCCCGGGCTCCCCGGGTCTGTGGCCCCATGAGAGAAGCAGAGGGCGGGGAGCACGTTCTGAGAATCATTTTCACGATTTCACAAAAGAAGCCACATGGAGATGGGGAGACCCTCCCTCGGCCGCGCTCCTCCCTCCGTCAGGCCCCCTGCTGTTCTGACCGATTAAAAAACAGGCAACGCCTGGGTTCATACCCTTTATTTGGGGACCACGGTGGCTGTTCTAGGGCCTCTGTCCTTCCTGCGAGCTTGGAACAATCCCTCCTTAAAAAAGAACGAGAACAAGGATGAAGACACTGGGAATCCAGGGAGGGAAAAATAAAAAGGATGTCTGGAGGCGGAAATACCGCGAGGCTCTGATTTCCAACCACCACCATTATCATTAATATCGGCACTAATCATTCACCCTTTCTTGAAACCAGCCCCGCGCAGTCGAACTTTCTGCCGCTGGCGACAAGTTCTCCTATCTGCGCTGTGCCGTGGGGGAGCCACGAACCAGCCTACGGAGCGCTGGCCACGTGGCAGGTGCCTGCGAGGGGCTGAGATGTTCTCTTGAGTTTAAATAGCCACGTGGGACCAGTGGCTCTGGGACTGCGCAGCACAGCTCCAATCCCGTGTCCATGGAGACCTACTATGTGCTGGGTGCTGTTCTGGGGGCTGGGGGATCCAGGTCGAGCGCCCTGGAGCTCACAGCCCGTCTGTCGAGGGAGAGAGACATTAGCTAAGTCCTTTCAGAATTGCAGTTCTGAAGGAGCAGGGTGGGGACGGAGGGCAGCATGCTGCTGTGAGGTCATGGGTTCAGGGAGCTCCCTGGATGACGCACAAGCTGAGATATGAGGATGGCTAAGACTTACCGATGGCAGGAGGGGAAAGGAAAGGAAGGAAGGGTGCACTGGGCAGAGGGGCCAGCTTGGGCAAAGGCCGTGTGGTGGAGGAAGCATGGATGCAGGATGAGGCCAGTGTGGCTGGGCTGGGCTGGGCTGGGCTGGGCAAGGAGGGGAGGGCAGTGCTGGGAGTTTGATCTTCTCTCCTTCTGCCTCCCCTGCAGCCTTGGTGACGCTCGCTGGGATCAGTGTCTATATCGCGTACTCAGCTGCCGCCTTCCACGAGGCGCTGTGTCTCCTGGAGGAGAAGGCCCTGCTGGACCAGGTGGACATCCGCTTTGGCTGGTCCCTGGCGCTGGGCTGGATCAGCTTCACCACCGAGCTGCTCACTGGGGCGGCCTTCCTGGCAGCAGCCCGTATGCTCAGCCTGAGACGGAGGCAGGACCAGGCCGTATGAGCCCAGCGTGGGGTCCTGGTGGGCAGGAGGCATGTGGCCTGGGGGCTTCATCGACCAATCACGGTGGGCTGTAGCCTCCTGTTCCACAGAGGCTGCCGGTGGAGTCAGGGGTCCAACCTGAGAACCGCTGAGGCCTGAGCTCCTGACCACTGTCATCCCAGTGCCATCCGTGCTGCCTGGCGTGCTGTGTGTCATGTCTGTGCACGTGTGTGTCTGTGTGGGCTAGCGGAGGCCCGAGGGAGCACAGAACCCATGAAATAACCAAAACAACCCTTAATCAGAAACAGAACTCACAGATGGCGACCTCCCTGTGCCTCTTCTGGCTTCATCTCCTCCTCACCCCCGCCCTGTGGATTAGCTCTTCTTCTTTGTTAGGGAAATGGAGGACCAGAGAGGTTAGGTAAGTTGCGTAAAGGCGCACAGCGAGCTAGTGGCATATTCCCTGCTCCAAGAACAGTGCTCTCTCGTTTATCGCAGCTTTTCTGAGCAGGCTCACAACCAGCTGGCTGCAGCGTGGTTACTGTGAGTGGAGAATGCTTCATCTCAGACGCTGGGCCTCAGGCTTCACATGACCTGGGACCCAGGCTGGAGGGGCACAGTGGGAAACCCCGAGGGAAGACGGCAGAATCCAGGCTTCTCAACAATGAGGCATCGGGAGTTTCCTCCCTCACCTCCAGGCTCATGCTTGTCCGGTCTAGAGTCCCGAAACTCGACAGCAAAGGCTCACTTCTACATTGATTCTCGGTGACCAGGAGCCCAGAGATGAAGGCCCCTCTTGAACACCAGGTGGTCAGCGTGCTGCTCCCCTTAGGTGTCATTTCATGATTGGCAGGAGGCCTCCACAGGGAGAGAAGAGCCATCAGCGTGCTCAGAGTTAGCAGGGAGGGCGTCAGCAGCCTCGCAATTCATGAGACAGAGCAATCAGCAAACTCCTGTGCAGCAGGAGAATTACCAGCACGCTCCCTCTGCCCGGAAAGAAGGTCCCCAAGGACGTAATCAGAACTCTGACATGCTCATCTCGGCAATGAGTCTGCAATCCGAAAGCCAACTGTTAGCTCACGGCACCCTCCATCCTCTGATAAAAGTAATTAGCACAGGAAAGTGTTGACTGAGCCTGGTTCCCTGGTGTAAAGTCCAGGCTGATGAGATTCAAACACACGGGGAAATGCATGAGCAGAGTCATCTGCTAAGTCCTCCAGCATCCCCCGAATAAGGCCTGCGCACTGGGCTCGGCAGGTCTCAACCCAAACTGCCTGCTGGAATCACCTGGGGAATTAAAAAAATGCCCGGGTCCCACCCCGGGCCAAGGAAGTCGCAGTTTCTCAGAGTGGGGTCCGAGCGTCATCAGCTTTCGGGAATGCTCTGGTCCAGCCAGAATTGGGATGAGCCACGGGCTGGCTTCGAACCCAGACGGATGCGTGCCTGTGGCTTTATAACCACAGGTTTTCTATATCTTCTGTGTTTCTACTATATATACCCTGTTGTGATTTTCTCGATTCCACAGGAGGTTGCATCTGAAACAATCTTGAGAAGGAGAGTGGCCTGGGGTTTGCTTTGTACCAGGGTGTCTCAAATTCACGGGGATCTTAGGAAATGCAGCCTGTGAGTCGGTAGGTGGGGGGCGGGGCTGGCAATTCTGCATCTCTACCAAGCTTTGAGTAAGGAGGGTTTGTGAAGTACACACACACATACACACACACACACCCCATCTTCTGTCCTCCTTCAAAGCAGCAGGGTTTTTAAGTTGCTTTTGCACTGACAAAGGAGGTCTGTACTCGGTCATGGGCCGAGTCCTGGTGACGCTATTACCGTTCTTCTTTTGGGTGATAATGACGTGCCACAGCAGCCGTGTGGCCTCGGTGGCTGTGGGCGGGGAACGTGCCCCCCTCCTGGCCCTGTGGGCTCTGAGTGCTGTCCAGGGAAGCTGTGGCTGCTTTTGGGCAGAAATAACTCTCGGTGTGACGCAGGCTTTTTGCAGCGTGGGTGGTGGGGGTTGGTCTAGAACCCGAAGCTGACAGATGCCCATGAGTTGGTCAATTGACAGGACGATCATATCCCTCGGCCCTCCTTTCATCCTGGCATTTGGCCCACGGGAATGGGGGTCTCCGAATTGGCTGTACATCTGAACCCCCCCGGGGGGTGCTGCTCTCGCTTCAGGGTGCCAGGACTTCCCGGCTTGCCCAAGCCCACCTGGCTGGACTCCACCCCCAGGGGTCTCCGAGCCAGTAGTTCCAGGTGGGGCCCGGGGACGCCCATTTCTAACCAGCTCCCAGGTGATGCGGAGGCTGCTGGCCCGGGCGTCCCTTTGCATTACGTGACCGGAGGAGCGTGTTAATCCACAGGGGTCGTCGTCACCTTGCTGCACATTAGGATCCCTGGAGTGTCTTTGGAAAATCCTGATGCCCGGGCAGAAGCTCCGATAGTCTCTGGGGTGAAGTCCAGGCATCGGTATTTTTCAAGAGCTCTGCAGGCGATTCCACTGTGTCGCTGAGGTTGAGAGCTTGTTGCTGTAAGACTCTGAGTTGCGAGATGCAGGGAAGCCTGGGAAGCCTCAAGTTTACGAAACTCCCCAGAAGTACTGATGGCTCAGGAGGCTTGGGGACCACGGGGTGGGGCATGAGACGGTAACACCATTATCAACATCACGACATCCTCACCACGACGTCATCATTTTCACCATGACATCATCCTCCTCACTTTGACCTCCTCACCCTTACCATGACATCGCCATCCTCACCATGACATTATTACCTTCACTATGACTTTCTTCTCCTCACCATGACATCCTCCTTCTCACCATGACATGATCATCACTGTGACATCATCATCCTCGCCATGGCGTGGTCATCATTGCAGCTGACACCCATTCAGTGTTTTCTCTGCTCCTACATTATTTTACATGTGCATCAATCAGTCCTTCAACAAACACCCGATGGGAGGCCATTACATGCTAGGAGGGACGGGCAGTGACCCCACCAGAGCAAGCCCTTGCTCTCTGAGCCGCCACACGATGGAGGAGACACGTGAGGACTGTGGAGATAAATGAGGCAGGGTCCAGAGGAGGAAACTGAGGCACAGACAGGTTGAGTTAACTGGCCCGAGGGCACAAGGAGAGAAATGGATACAACTGGGACTGGAATTTCGATCGGCGTGATTCCAAGATGATTTTCTTTCCGCTCAGCCAATACCCACGCCCCTCGGCTGTCTGTCAGCTTGTGGATTCAGGACACTGCCGCCGCCTCCCTTTCTGTCTGTCCTGGAAAAGTGCAGACTGAGTGGGTTGCTCATAAGGCCCCCCGGGGGCGAGTGAGCGCGGTTGCAGAACCTGTTACCAGGCTGGGAAAAGAAAGGAAAAGTTTTCAGGAAGATGCTGCCTTGCTGGCGAGAGGGCGGTCTCTGCTGCCACCTGCTGGTCATTTGGTGGAACTGCGTCAGAGGCGGGACTTGATGCTCAGATCAGGCCCAGCACGTCTGTTTTCCGCCCTCCGGGAGCCCAGCAATGGGTTCAACACCGCAGGTCAGGGGCGCTCAGCTAGGGCGACTTGCCGCCCCCCCCCAACGTGGTACATTTGGGGATGTCTGTAGACGTATTTGGTTGTCACAACTGGGGATGGGTGCTACTGGCATCTAGTGGGTGGAGGTCAGGGGTTCTGCTCAGCATCCTGCGATGCACAGCACAGCCCCACAACGGAGAGTGATCTATCCCACGTGGCGGTGGTGCCCTGGCTGAAAAGCCTGGTTAGGGGACTAATAACAGAAAGGAATAATAGCAGAAGAAAGCTCGTGTGTGCCCCAGGAACCGACAGCGTGGTTGACCAGGATCTCGTTCATTCAATAAATATTATCAAACACCCGCCGTGTGTTCAGATTTGTCCTAGGGCCCGAGGGCACATTAGTGGGAATGGATGACAAGATCCCTGCCCTTCCTAGCTTCCGTGGAAACAGTCGATGAACACATGAACCAATAATACATATGAGAAGTTTAGAGAGTGACTAGTGTTAGTAAGAAGATAGTAAGAAGTTAGTTAGTTAGTTAGTAAGAAGATAAAACAGGATGATGAGCTGGAGTGTGGCTGGGAGAGATGCTCCTCCAGGAAGGACAGTTAGGGAGGGCCTCTTGGAGGTGGTGGCCTGGTGCTGAGACCCGAATGAGGAACCCGCCACGTAGGGAAGCGGCAGAGCAGGCAGATGGCAGCATGTGCAAAGGCCCTGAGGTGGGAACAGCTTCTTATGTGTTTGAGGGAAAAAAAGAAGAAGAGTTGAGGGAGAGAGGTAGGAGGTGAAGTCAGAGAAGTGAGGAGGAGGGAGAGGAGGCCAATGGAATCAAAACCCCAAAAAGTGAGCCTGGCCTCTGGTATTTTTAAAAAGTTTCCCAGGTGACTCTGCTGTGCAGCGGGGGTGAAAACCACTGCTTTGCATCCTTGGGTCTGGGGAGCGGAGAGCAGATGGCTGGAGAGAGAGCACCTCTTTGTCCTACCTGCATATCATGAATCGGTTCGATCAGCATTTTCCGGGCCCTCCTGTGGGCTGGGGGAGGAGGGTCTCCCTGGACTCTCGGGGCTGAGGGAAGACCCAGCCTCAGTCTCCCCAGGCGGACTTTGCTGCCTTTTCCTGGAGATGAACCTCGGCGCTGAGATGGCGTCCGGGACACAGCGAGGGGAGTGAGTCTAGGGGAGCCTGGGAGGGTGCAGAGAAGGCACCATTCCCCTCATTTTGGAGATGAGAAGCCTGAGGCCCCCAGAAGGATTTGACCTGCTCTGGGGGCGCTGCAGCTGAAGGAACCGGGACCGACCGAAACCCAGGCTCCAGCGTCGTCACTCCGGGTCCCTCCCTCTGACATCCTGGGTTGCTCGCTCCCTCCCCTGAGAGTCAACAGCCTGGATTTCATTTACGGCAAAAAAGGGGAGCAATCCGTGGTCTCTGCTTATCCTCTCAGTGAATTTCCACTTGTCATTTTCCCAGCACATGACACCCAATAGCTGGGACCCTGACAGTGGGCCTCTGTGAATGTCGAACGCAGACTC